GAAACGCACCCGCCATTAAGTCGGCACCAATCTATATACAACACCGAGTGCCACTCCTACCGCGCCGGAAACCTCGATTTCCTCTTCACCGACAGCGCCCCAGAATGACTTATCCTCGACCGATGCCTGGACACAGGAATCATCATCCGATAGAACCTCAAACAAACACATCCCTTCTCATTCCTCTTCCTCTTCCTCTTTTCACTTTCACCAACACTTTCCCCTTTCCTCATCACACTCGACCTCTCCCGAGACTTCGCATTCTCAAAATCATTCACTTCCGGCAACACTCTGGACACTTCCTGTGCGCTTTTCACATAAAACACAGAGTAATCCTTCGACTTCCCTCCAATCATCCGTTCAACAGATAAATTATCATTCAACGCATCATTGCTCTCACTTTTTGCACATGGCCTCTCAATCGTTTTCTGTTCAACACATAAATTATCATTCAACAATGCATCGCTCTCACTTTTTGCAAATGGCGTCTCAATCCTCGAACAATCTCTTCCAAACTCTTTATCCAACTTCTCAGCGAAACTCCGATAATCATCAAACTCTTTCAAGAATGACTCCGAGCAGCTCTCCACGGAGTCCCGTCGGTAATCCCTGTTCTCGTACAGCACGTCCGCCATCTTGTCGGCGTCGCTCTTCCTGAGCCGCGCGGAGAATCTCCGCACGAACGCTCTCATTCCCGACTTTATTCCGCTCTCCTCGTGAGAGACGTAATCGATGACCTTCGCGTCATTGAAGCCTAATCTGATGATGCTGGGATGCAGCTCGAGTTTGTTCCTCTCCAAGGTACTCGCGATACTTTTTTCTGACATCGTAAACGGAAATCGGTCTTGACTTTTTCTTAATCGAGAATGACGCAAAGTTGACGAAGTGAAAGGAAACGGGGAATTCCCCTCGAATTTCTCTTTGAAAGTCGAAGCTTCGGATTGAATGCTTCGTGTTTGTTCCATGTAATGGCGGAACTGCTCGGCCGCCATCTTCTCGAGAGACACTCGCACTCGTGGATTCTTTGGGGATTCGAAGCGGCCGTCTCCAATTTGGTTTTTTAATGAATTTTGTTTGATGAATGTCGTGTTGGTGACTTTGCGAGTTGGTTGTGGAGAATTTTGATGATTGGGCATATCGAATGGTTTTTTGGTTAGCAAACTTGAATTGGTTCTTGATGGAGAGTCACCTGTTTCATAATTACTTGCGTAATTCGGTGAGTCACTTTCTGAACTGTCTGCATCATTATGCTGGTTTCTTAATGAATTTTGTCTGATATTTTCTGTCGTGTCGTTGATTTTGCGAGTAAGTTGTGGAGAATTCTGATGATTGGGCGTGGAATTGAATGGTTTTTTGGTTAGCAAACTTGAATTGGTTTCGTAATTGCTTGCGCAATTCACTGATTCGTTTTCTGAACTGCCTGCATCATTGTGCTGGTTGCTTAATGAATTTTGTCTGATATTTTCTGTCGTGTCGTTGACTTTTCGACTCTGTCGTGGAGAATTCTGATGATTGGGCGTATCGAATGGTTTTTTGGTTAGTAAATTTGATTCGGTTTCGTAATTACTTGCGTAATTCGGTGATTCGCTTTCTGAACTGTCTGCATCATCTTTTTGATTCAATGATGCAAATGCTTCGTTTTCAGTTCTTCCTGACTTAGAGTATTCAGAACTTTCGGATTTACTTAGGCTGCTTAGCAAATCATTGCACTCTGAATTTTCTTTTGACAGAGCTTTCTCTTTCGATGACAGACTTTCATCAGATGCGAGTTCTGTTTGAATCATTAAATTTAACTGGATGTCCTTAGATAACTTATGGGACACCCTGTAGGTATCCTCTGTTTGCAGAGACATTCTCGATAAGACTTCGATTAAATCGTCTGCGTCTAGATAGTTCCCTGAAGTTTTGTTTAAAGATGATCCTGAGGACGTCTCTTGTGAGGTCAGAGAGAGGTCAGGAATATCCAGATCATCTTGGAAATTCTGATTCCTGCTTTTAACAGACAAGTTGTCGTTGCTCCCCTTCTGTGAGGTCAGAGAAAGGTCAGGAATATTTAGATCATCTTGGAAACTTTGATTCTTGCTTTGGAAATTCTGGTTCTTGGTTTGGAAATTTTGATTCTTGCTTTGGAAACTTTGATTCTTGCTTTGGAAATTCTGATTCTTGCTTTGGAAATTTTGATTTTTGCTCTGGAAATTCTGATTCTTGCTTTTAACAGATAAGTTGTCGTTGATCCTCTTCTGCGAGGTCAGAGAGAGGTCAGGATCACTTAGATAATCTCCTTGGAAATTCTGATTCTTGCTTTTATCAAACAAGTTCTCGTTGCTTCTCTTCTGTGAGGTCAAAGAGAGATCAGAATGACTTAAATCATCTTGGAAATTCTGATTTTTGCTTTGGAA